AAAAAAAAAAAAAAAAAAAAAAAAGATTATAAAAAAAATGAAGAGAAAATACAAAATAGATTTTAAACATAGACCTTAAAAATAAAAATGACCAAAATAAACTAAGATGTTTTATCAAAAATAAGTAAATATACACTTATACTTTTGGATAACTAATCGTAGACCTTTTTATTTAGAGTTAAATAGTGAAGTTTTGGGAATAGGATTTCAAATTTTAAGAAATTAAAAAAAAATTAAAATTTTCAAATAATAAATGTTATTTTGATTATTTTAGTTTCTGAGATCTATTTTTTAAAATAACTTTAAAAAAGTCTATTCGAGAGAAGTGACACTACAAGAAAACACGCCTTTAATGAGGAAGAATTACGAGGAAAATATTTCCTCGTAATTTGACGAGTACTTAACTACTAGGTTACGAGTAAATTTAAATTCGTCGTAAAGAACTAGTAACATTACGATAAAACACATTCGTCGTAACTCACACGTTATTTTACGACGAGTGTACCAGTAAAGGAAGCTTCGTCGTAAAGCAGAAGTAAAATTACAAGCCCATTACAAGGAAGGGTTTAATCGTTTATAGTAAACAAAAACGTGTTCTTAAGTTACTAATTTCGTTCTAACATGGTTGTAAATCATGTACAAAGGAGTTGTAAAATCCAAGAAAATAATTTCCTTATAAATTCGTTGTTAAATCTTTACCAACCAAACTCGAAAATTTCCTATATATATGTCATTCCTAATCAATCCTAACAACACCACAAACAAAAACATAAAAAATGAAAGAAAAAAATCCGATAACTTATGTATCGATTTTCAAAGAAATTAAAAGGCGTGGACAGTCAGCAGAACAGTTCTTATCAACTCAACATAGTTTTTCCCTCGAGAAGTCAATGAATAGATATGAGGAGTTGATAAAACCGTTCCGATGACCGTGAACTCCCTTTAGTTTTTTGGAAGTAATCCAGAAAAAAGTTTATCCAAATTTTTTTTTCCACTTTTGTTGTAAAGTCGTCGTAAAGTTACAAGTTCTTTACGAGAAATATTGGTAGGTTGACACGACTTTAATGTGTAACTTAAATCGTTTTAAATACGTTGTAACCTAGATGTTAGAGACATGTAATATCATAGTAATATTTTCCTTGTAAATATGTTGTAAACTTTCACCTACCAATGTTCGTGGGTTTTCTATATATATGACCATTTCTCATTTCATACCACCACAAAAAAAAAACAACTAAAAAGCAATTTCTGATGGAAGAAATATTTTCGAATTGCGGAGTTGGATGCATACGCATAAAGATCCTGACGGTAGAGTGACGAATGCATTTCTTAGCGGGCTAGAGATATTTATGAACCAGGCAGCCTGTACACCCGTCACGCAAAAAAGTGGAAAGATGTTATGTCCTTGTCAGAAATGCAAAAATTCAAAATTTGCCCGTGCTGAAACTGTGTGGTAACATTTAGTACATAGAGGTTTTACAGCACAATATTACATTTGGTTTCAACATGGAGAGGGTTATGGAGAATGTGAGGGATAAAACTCACTCTCTAGTTTAGGTTAGGTTAAGATTGGGAAAAAGACAATCGTGGGCTGAATCCTTTTAGAACTTAAAGAATGAATATGATTATATTTGATGAACAATGATTACAAAGATGATTGAAACGAATACAAGGAAATCAATGGATGATTGGTGAGTGATAATGTATATGTAAATTCGTAAAAAGCGTGAATCCCCTTCTCTTCATTTCTCCCTCCTTTAAATAGCCTCAGGTCACGTTTAACCTCTCCTGATTAGTCTCCGAGATCGCCTCCGTAAACTGAGGGATTTGCAACAGCTTCCTTTTGACCGAATCATACGCCTCTATCTTCGTATCCTGGGCTGTTTTATTAGGTTCCTGCGAGAGAAGCCGGACCTCTTCTTCGTCACCTCTTTCTCGTGACCTCTTTCTCGTGACCTCTTTCTCGTGACCTCTTTCTCGTGACCTCTTTTATCGAAATCCTTGGAAGTAGCCTCCGTCCTTAGGTGAGCTCCACTTTCTTTTGAAACGATAATTCACGCATAGCCCATTGTTAGGCTTAATTCGATTGATCCATTAATTTCAGCTAACGGGCCACATTTGGGCCCAACAGTTGCCCCCAGCTTTCGAGAGAAGGTACTTTTCTCGGGAGCTAGACCTAGCCGCCGAATCTTAATATTCGTTGAGATAATGATTACTCGTGATCTTCTCTCGAGGATATCTTTTACTTGATCCGACGGATACGATTAAACTTCACGAAATCAACGACTCAGATTAAAAGGAGTTTGAAATAATTATCCTCTGATTCTCGAGGCTTGATGGGATATAAAGCTGATTACATTAACTCCAACTTCCCCACTCTCTCCACGTCTTGATTCAGTTTCCCCATGTAACTCCTTCTGGTTCCTTTATTTTACTGCCTTTTTCTTTTACAGTCTTTTTCTTTTAAGTTCAAAACGAGATTCGAGTGGATTCTCGTGCCCTGTCATGACTGGACCGAGAGAAGGCTCCGGAGAGACCAGAATTTCTGCCGCTGGAGCTCGGATCATGAAGATGAAGAAGGAGGTTGGTGAATCGGCGATGAGGGCTGAGAAGAAGAAGAAGACTAAGGAGTCGATAGCCCAGAGAGTTTCCAAAAGAACGAAGAGAACCGGTGGCTCTAAGGAAAGTTTTCCCTCCGGGTCTCATCCTCCCTCTGCGTTAAAGGGGCATGAAATAGTCAATCTCATGGTCCAAGCTCTAGGCCGTAAGGAGTTAGCCAGGGCTTGTGAAGGCCACGAAACCCCCAAAATGGCTCCAGAAGGCTGGTTTTGTGTTCACGAGAAGTATATCTCTAAGAGTCATCTTAGGTTTCCCCTCCCTGATCTGCTATTAGACCTCCTGGATCATTATCAACTAGCTCTTTCCCAGCTCTGTCCATCCGTTATTCGAGTGATAAACGGTTTTATCACCAGGTCTAAGGAGGAAGGGGTTGTTGTCGGGATTAATGACTTGATGAGTCTTTTCACGATAATGGAAAGTGCTTCGAAGGATGGTGGTAGTGGAACCTACTATCTCTCAAGTCGTCCAGGATTAGGAATTTTTAAATTTTCCAGTAGCGACGACGACTGGCGAAAAAAAGTACTTTTTCGTGAGGATTGATCCTTCAACGGTCCCTGTGGGTCGTACTCTTAGGGCCGCTTGGTCTGATGCCTCTGGTTAGAATTATTAGGATTGTATTTATACGATTTGATTTTTAGTAACCTAATGATTGCCTGGTACTGTTTGCAGACATTGAGGATCCTCCAGTACTTACTGGCAAGCTTACCAGAGCTCTCTTTCGAAAGCTAAAGCAAACTCCTTGTACCTGGGCCTCTTATACCACTTCTCGAGTAGGTGCAGCCAGATTTCCAGATCATTACAACGCTTCCTTTTTGACTCCAATCCCGATCTTAGAGTTAGAAGGTTACGTAGTCGTTTGTTTTCATACAAATAAACTTGTTTTTATGAGTTCTGATTTTTGAAAAAATTTGTTGATGTAGTTTCCGAAGGTGACACAGTGGTGACAAATTCAACGGAAGCCAGTACTTCTGAAACCGAGAGAACCCAGTCAACCAAGATGCCTCTTCAACCGTCATTCCGATCAAGGGGTAGGCCAGCGAAGGCAGCCAGCACTTCTCGTGGAAGCGAGAAGAATCAAGGAGGATCCTTCCTTAGCTCAGTGAAAGAGGTTCTCGATGATGGAGCTTCTGTTCCAGTTAAGGATGCTAATCCGGTTGATGAACAGGGAGCTAAGGAGATTGCTCCTTATTCTGATGTTCAGGTCGCGGGAGACGATCTTCAGGTGATCAAGGATCCTTCTGAGACTGAACTCCCCAGGAGCAAGAGGTCACGAATCGATCAAGGCGATAGGCCTTCTAGGTCCTCTTCATCATCTTCGAGGGGAGGTACCGTTGGGTGGAATTTCGCTCACTCGAAGCCTGGGTCGATTCTTGATGATCTGTGGGGTTTGGCTACGCTGATGAGACACATGAAGCGAACAGGGTGTTCTCTTCTGCCTGTTAACAATCTGACCAACAAGGACGAGTTTATTGAGATTGCTCACTACCTGGGTCAGGTACGGATCTTTCCTTCCCCTTTTATCGTTCTTTTTTTTTATATTGGGATATTTATTTCCGTTATTCGTTTCTCTGCAGTTGGCTGGAGCCGTTAACAGAGCTCAGCTGAAGTTTGAGGAAACAGTGAACAACGCGCCTAACACCGAGGAGTTAACCCAGGTTACCGAGATGGTTAAGGCTACCAAGGCCGAGCGTGATCAAGCCAGAGCTCAGGTCTCGATGCTTCGATCTGAAGTTGAGAGGCTCGGTTTGAAGTCTGATGCTCAGCAGGGGAAATCGAGAGCTTGGAAATTGATGTTAGGGTGAAGAGTAGGAGGGTTTCCGAGCTAGATAGTGCTCGAAAGATTGCTGAGCAACATGTTCAAGACTTGATTGCGTCGTCTCAGGTTAGCCAGAAGAACAAGGAGGCCGAAGTTAAATTTGTTGTTAGGAAGGGAAAGAAGGAGGTCATCGATGCCTACAATAAGATCCTTATCTCCGTTAAGGAGAAATTCTCCAAGAAGAAGGATGAGGTTGATCTTCAGATCTACGCTCAAGAGCTTCAAGCTAATACGGAACTCTTGAAGGATTTGATATCAAACGAGATTCAGAACGCCAAGGTGGAGTATAATCGTTTGATGTCTTTGATGCCGGAAGCCGTTGCTGCTTACGAGGGAGCGCAGGTTTCTGACTTCTCAGTCAGCAAGCTTCCTCTTCCTCAACTCTCAGAGAGCTCAGGTACTTTCGAGGTTAACACGTTTAATCCATCCTTTTCTGGAGAGTACGGTTCTAATTTAGG